ACGATCCTCGAGAGGGGTGTGCCGAAATGAAGCCTCGGTTGGGCTCCTTGTGGGGCCAGGGCCACGATCCTCGAGAGGGGTGTGCCAAAATGAGGCCTCGGTGGAGCTGCCTGTGGGGCAAGGGCCACGATCTTCGAGAGGGGTGTGCCGAAATGACGCGTCGGGGCGCTTCCTGTTGGGCCAGGGCCACGATCCTCGAGAGGGGTGTGCCGAAATGAGGCCTCGGTGGAGCTCCCTGTGGGGCCAGGGCCACGATCCTCGAGAGATGGAGGCCTCGGTGGAGCTCCTTGTAGGGCCAGGGCCACGATCTTTGAGAGGGGTGTGCCGAAATGAGGGTTCGGTGGAGCTCCCTGTGGTGGCCAGGGCCACGATCCTCGAGAGATGTATGCAGAAATGAGGCCTCGGTGGGGCTCCCTGTGGGGCCATGCCCACGATCCTCGAGAGGGGCGGTGGAGCTCCCTGTTGGGCCAGGGCCACGATCCTCTATATGGGTGTGCCGAAATGAAGCTTCGGTGGGGCTCCCTGTGGGGCCATGGCCACGATCGTTGAGAGGGTGGGGAACTCCTTGTTGTGGGGCCAGGGCCACGATCCTCGAGAGGGGTGTGCCGAAATAAGGCCTTCGGACTCCCTGTTTGGCCAGGGTCTAACAGATCTCGAGAGGGTGTGCCCAAATGAGGCCTCGGTGGAGCTCCTTGTAATTGTACTACTCCCCACTACTACCATCCACTAACTACCACTACTCTACTACTACTACTACTAACTACTACTAACTACTACTCCTACTACTACTACTGACTACTACTGACTACTACGTACTACTACTTCACCTACTTACTACCGTCCACTACTACGATCTACTACTACTACTACTACTAAAACTAACTACGACCTAAGTAGTAGTATAGTAGTAGTAACTACTACTACTAACTACTACTATCCTATTACTACTCCTACGAGTACTTCCGGCTACTACCACTACTACTACTACTACTCTAACTACTGTCTACTAAGTAGTACTACTACTATACTACTACTACTACTACTACTAACAGACTACTACTACTACTACTACTACTCCTACTACACTACTACTAACTACTACTACTACTCTACTGCTACTGCTACTACTACGCTACTCACTACTACTACTACTAACTAACTACTCGTACTACTACTACTACTAAACCACCACTACTACTACTTAACCCCTACTACTACTACTACTACTAAACTACTAACTACTACTATTACTACTACTTACTCCTACTACTACTATCTACTGCTACTGCCTACTACTACTACGACTCCCGCCTACGCACTACCCACTACCAAACTACCACTACCACTACCACTACCACTACCACTACCACTACCACTACCACTACCACCACCACTACTACTACTACTACTACTACTACTACTACTACTACTACTACTACTACCACTACTACGACTACGACTACGACTACGACTACGACTACGACTATGACTACGACTACGGCTACTACTACTTCTAACACTACTCCTACTATTACTACGACAACAACAACTATTACTACTACTGATGCTACTACGACTACTCCTACGGCTACTACTACTACTACTCCGACTACTGCTGCTACTACGACTACTACTGCGACTACTACTACTACGACTACTACTGCGACGACTACTACTACTATTACTACTACTACTACTACCACCACCACCACTATTACTACTACTACTACTACTACTACTACCACCACCACTACTACTACTACTACTGCTGCTACTACTACTGCTACTCCTACTACTACTACTCCTCCTACTACTACTACTACTACTTCTTCTACTACTACTACTACTACTACTACTACTACTACGACTACTACTACTACTACTATTACGACGACGACGACTACTACTACTACTGCCACTACTACTACTACTCCTACTACTACTCCTCCTACTACTACTACTACTACAACTACTACAACAACAACTACTACTACTACTAATACTACTATTACTCCTACTACTACTCCTACTACTACTACTCCCACTACTACTACTCTTACTACTACCCTACTACTTACTACTAACTACTACTACTACTGCTACTGCTAACTAGCTACTACTACCACTCCTACTACTACTACTACTACTACTACGCAAAACCACCACTCACAGCACCATCACTCTACTGACTACTACTGCTGCTACTACTCTACTACTACTACTAACTATTACACATCCTACTACTACTAACTACTACTCACTACTACTAACTACTTACTACTACTACTACTACTACTACTAGTACTACTACTACTACTACTACTACTACTACTACTACTACTACTACTACTACTACTACTACTACTACTACTACTACTACTACTACTACTACTACTACTACTACTACTACTACTACTACTACTACTACTACTACTACTACTACTACTACTACTACTACTACTACTACTACTACTACTACTACTACTACTACTACTACTACTACTACTACTACTACTACTACTACTACTACTACTACTACTACTACTACTACTACTACTACTACTACTACTACTACTACTACTACTACTACTACTACTACTACTACTACTACTACTACTACTACTACTACTACTACTACTACTACTACTACTACTACTACTACTACTACTACTACTACTACTACTACTACTACTACTACTACTACTACTACTACTACTACTACTACTACTACTACTACTACTACTACTACTACTACTACTACTACTACTACTACTACTACTACTACTACTACTACTACTACTACTACTACTACTACTACTACTACTACTACTACTACTACTACTACTACTACTACTACTACTACTACTACTACTACTACTACTACTACTACTACTACTACTACTACTACTACTACTACTACTAACTACTACCTGTCCGCCCTCGAGTTCCCTATGGATTCCGTAGGGTTCCCTATGGATGCCCTCGGGTTCCCTATGGATTCCCTAGGGTTCCCTATGGATTCCCTAGGGTTCCCTATGGATTCCCTAGGGTCTCCTATGGATTCCCCGGGGTTCCCTATGGATTCCGTAGGGTTCCCTATGGATGCCCCAGGGTTCCCTATGGTTTCCCTAGGGTTCCCTATGGATTCCCCAGGGTTCCCTAGTTCCTTATAGATTCCTTGGGATTTCCCTATGGATTCCCTAGGGGTCCCTATGGTTGCTGGAGCCTCGCTGGTGCTCCCTCGCGTTTGCGTGGTCGACTCCAGTGCGGAGGTGGAAGGGTCGGACTGGAATCCGTATTCCTAGGTATTATGAAGCCGGAGGGGTTTCCCGTTTCCCGTTTCCCGTTTCCCGCCCCCCCCCCCATGGGGCCTCCAGCTAAGGTCCGTACAAGAGGGTAGGGACAGCAAGGTAGAATGGGGCCTCCAGGTAGCGTCCTTACCTTGTTGTTGTTGTTGTTGTTGTTGTTGTTGTTGTTGTTGTTGCTGTTGTTGTTGTTGTTGTTGTTGTTGTTGTTGTTGTTGTTGTTTTTGTTTTTCGCTTCCTTCTTCTTCTTCAAGGCTAGGCAGGCATGTCTGATGAGGTCATGCTCTGCCTGCGAGTGGCCGGTGTGACGCTTCCAGGCGGATCGCTGCTGGCACCGCCCGTGCCATCTTTTTTTGTTTTTTTCTTCTTCCCCCTATCCAGCTGCTGTCCCGCTGGGCTGTCCTCAGGCTGGACTTCGCCAGCCGTGTCTCTTCACATTTTCATGCCGTGCTTTATCGATCCCGTTCCAGGCCCACCTCAGCCCGTCCCATCCCATTGCATCCACTTGCCATCGTCCCAGTACATCTGTTCCATGCAATGCCATGTCATCTTTCCCGTTTCTTCCCACCACCATCTTTACAACGTGCTTCCTTGCTACTTGCTGCAACTGTGTCAGTCTGGGACCGAGTCTCTCTCTGTCCGCCACTTTCTCTCATTGCCGTAGCCATTATCATCATCAGCATCATCAACACCATCGTCATCACCACCACCATCATCATCATCATCAGCATCATCGTCGTCAACAACATGATCATCAACATCAACATCACCATCAGCATCACCACCACCACCACCATCACCATCACCATTACGATCACCATCACCATCACCATCACCATCACCATCACCATCACCATCACCATCACCATCACCATCACCATCACCATCACCATCACCATCACCATCACCATCACCATCACCATCACCATCACCATCACCATCACCATCACCATCACCATCACCATCACCATCACCATCACCATCACCATCACCATCACCATACGTGTCATCATCATCTTAACCATCCGTACCATTACCATCACCATTATCATCAGGACCATCGTCATCATCATCGTCACCACCATCACCGTCAGCTTCATCACCACCACACTCATCATCACCACTGTCGTTACCATCATTACCATCACCATCACCACCACTATTAGTTTCATCGTCAGCCAACGTCGTCGCCATCATCATCATCATCATCATCATCATCATCATCATCATCATCATCATCATCATCATCATCATCATCATCATCATCATCATCATCATCACCATCTTCATCATCACCACCATCACCACCACCATCATCATCACCATCATCTGCAATCATCAGCATCAGCATCGGCATCAGCATCAGCACCATCATCATCATCATCATCATCATCATCAGCATCATCATCAGCATCATCAGCATCATCAGCATCAGCATCAGCATCAGCATCAGCATCAGCATCAGCATCAGCATCAGCATCAGCATCAGCATCATCACCAGCATCATCATCAGCATCAGCACCAGCAACAGCATCAGCATCAGCATCAGCATCAGCATCAGCATCATCATCATCCTCGTCCGTAGTCATTTTGGCTCACGCTGATTCTCCACAACTTCTCTCAGGCGCCACCACACTGCGGCAGCGGCGTGCGGTTTGGAGATGTTTGGCAATGGCGACGGGGGGTCGCCCGCAGGCGCGCGGGCGGGGCGGCCCAGCACGCGCAGCACTCAGCGCCTGCAGGATGCGGCCGGGATGGGGGCGTCCGCGGCTCGCCGAGCTGCGCGGGCGCGGCGCCACCTTGCGGCAGAAGCCGCGGTGCGGGCGCACGCGAGGGCCCGCGGAAGCCCAGGCTCCTGGCAGGACCGAGAAACGGCGGCTCGGCCAGCCCTCCGCAGGGCCGCCGCTGGGCAACGGGTTCCTGGGGACGCTCGGAGGCGGCGCAACGCCGCCTGGCACGCCGCGTGGACTCCCAGGGCGGTTTCTGTTGCCTCGAGAGCAGGCCTCGCTTGGGCCGCGGCGGGGCCCCGCCTGGGGCCAGGCGGCGCCATGGCCTCAGGCGCAAGGCGCTGCGCGGCGGCCTCGAGGCCCTTCACGGTGAGTTTCAAGGACCACGTCGGCGCTATCGCGGAGGACGGCGGCGAGCAGCTGGAGCCTTTGGATAGCAGGCCGCGGGCGTGGTTGCCCAGGGAGCTCAGGCACATGCGGACATCGGGGCCAGCAGCGGGCCTTGGGGAACCCAGACAGGGGCAGACCCCCAAGGAGGGCAACTGACCTTGGCCCGAGGCCACAGACATGCGGGTGGCCGAAGCTTTCGACCAGGTCCAGCCTCCACCCTGGGCCGAGGATGCGCAGGTGGCCGAAGCCCTAGGAGGGAGAAGCCCCTCATCGGCGTCGGGGCGCTGGGACGTCCTTTGGGAGCCCGCGGCTGGGCAGACCCAGCGGGGGGGGAGAGGCGAGCTCTGGAGCCAGGCCGCATACGTGCAGGTGGCCGAAGCCCTTGACCGAGCTCAGCCTCATTCCAGGGCCGCGAACGCGTGGGTGGTCGAAGTTTTTGGGATGAGGCCCCCCTTCCAACGGCTGGCGTCGAGGCGCGGAAACGACCTTGGGGGTCCCTGGCAGGGGCAGACCCTAGAGGGGCGGGGGGGCGAGCTCTGGCGCGAGGCCGCAGACTTGCGGGTGGGCGTTTCCCTCGACCGAGCTCAGCCTCTGCTCGGGGCCACGGACGCGCGGGTGGTCGATCCCTCGGGCCGAGCGCCCCCTCCCCTGCGTCGGGGCGCAGAGGCGCCCTTGGGGCCCCCCCAGCAGGGCAGACCGTAAATGAGGAAGGAACAGGGTGTGAGCTCAAGGCCGCAGACGCGCGGGCGGTCGAGGCCCTTGACCGCGCGCCCTTCCCCGCCCCTGGTCCGCGGATGTGCGGGCGGCCGAAGCCCGGGGCGCTAGAGGGCCCCTCCCCGTCGGATCGTGGTGAACAAGTGAAGGGCCCGCGCAAGCGCAGGCTCGGTCTGGAACTGGGCGAGGACGAGGGCCTCGGCAAGGACAGGCTGGGGGGCCAGAAGGGCATGCGCAATCGCAAGTTCGGCCAGGACCTGGGCGAGGACGGGGGCTTTTGCGAGGGCGGGCTGGAGGACCCGAAGGGCCAGTGCAAGCGCGATGTCGGTCTGTGCCTGGGCTCTGACGCGAGCGTGTGTGAGGACAGGCTGCAGGGCCTGCAGGGCCTGTGCAAGCGCGGGTTTGACCTGGGCCTGGAAGAAGAAGAGGGTCCACTCGAGGGCAGGCTGGAGTACGGCGGCCCAGGCGGCGGCGGCGCAGGCTTCCTGTTTGCGGACGAGGTCCTGGAGGCGGGGGCCGCCTCGGATCGCCCTCGCAGCGGCCGGCGGCCTCCTGGGGGTCCCACTCGAGGTCCCGTGCCAGCTCGCGGGCGTCGCAGGCTGAGTCGCCGCGACTGCTCGGGTGTCGTTCTTCTGCCTGCTTCGGCTGGGGTGGGGGGCGGCTTCTCGGCGCGCGGGTGAATCTGCGTGGGTGCCTTGGACACGAGACCGCGCGCTGCCTCCGCGGGGCCGGCCATCGGGAAAGGCCCCGGTCCGAGGGGCAGTGTGAGCAGGGAGCTTCTGACCGCTTTAGACGCGTGGACCATCATCATCATCATCATCATCATCACCATTACCATCACCATCATCATCATCATCATCATCATCATTCTCATCATCATCATCATAATCATCAGAATCATCAAAAGCATAATACTACTCATCATCGCCATCGTTTGTATTATCGTCACCATCGTCATCATCGTCATCATCGCGATCATCATCATCATCATCACCGTTACCATCGCCACTTCCACATCCACTTCCACCACCACCACTACCACTGTCATAATAATAATCATCATCATCACCATCATCATCATCATCATCATCATCTGCATTATCAGCATTATCATCATCAACTTCTTCGCCACCAGCATCATCACCACCACCACCGCCAACGTCATCACCGGCAGCAACATCAGCAGCATCAGCAGCCCTCATCATCACCATCGATCGGCGGCTTTTGGCCCGTCGCGCGGCGCGCCGAGCAGGAATCGCCCATGCGCCGGTCGGGCGCGTGCCCAGCGGGTGCCTGGGGCGCGGGGCCATGCGCCGCCTCGCTTGTAGATGCCCCGCGGTCGCCCTCGAGTGGCGCGCGGCCATCGCGAGCGACCTGGTGCTGCGGGCCTTCGCCGACCTGGCCGCCGAATCCGACGCCGAGGACGCCTGCTACTCGCGCGCGCTCGTCCCCGCACAGGAAAAGGACGTCCGGTTCCTCCTCGCCGCGGAGGGGCATCGCTGGAGCAGCGCCCATGGCTGCGGCGCGCTGGCGTGCGCGGCCTGCGTCTACATCGACGGTCCCGCGCTGCGCGGCAGGGCGGGCTCAGCCGAGACTCGCGCGGGTTGGGGCTTGGCGGCGCTGTGGGTGCGCGGCGGCGCCCGCGGCGTCTGGGGGGGCGCGCCCGCCCACCTGTGCGGACGAGCTCATGTCGGGGGCGAGGGCCTTCCGCCGGGCGCTCCGCGGGAAAAAGGGGGCCGCCTGCTGCCGCGGTGGTGGCCCGGCGTGCCACCGCTGGCCCTGCCGCGCCCATGGCGCGGCAGTCCTGGAGGTTGACGGCGCCCGCTGGCTGTGCGACGCCTGCGCGGCCGCCTCAGGCGGCGCGCGCATTCCTAGAGGACCCCTGGTGAGTCTTGCTGTGCCAAGTTCTGTTCAGCAGGCGGTTGCATGTCGGCCAGCCGCTGACCCGCCGACCGTCGCGGCCGATCCGCCCGCCGACCGCCGCGGCTGATCCGCCACCCGTCGCGGCCTACCCGCCGCCCGCCGCGGCGGCGGCAGGGGGTGAATTGAGGATGTTGAGGTCGCTCCTGTTCGCGACCGCTGCAGGAGGCCCCGCCCTTGGAGGCGAGGGCGGCGCGGGGCCAGCCACCTCCCGAGAGTGCGAGCAGACGGGCGAGCTGGGTTAGCGTTGGGCCAGGGCCCCGCGCCCAGTCTAATGGGGGCGGAGGGTCCTGCGACCAACATTATGAGCGAGATGGTGCGAGGCCCCTTTGGGGCGGACGCGGGGAGTGACCCAGCAGGGTGCCAGCGCGCAGAAACATTGCAGGCGGCTGGCGGAAACGGCCTGGAGCTGGGCAGGCCATCCCAGAGAGGGACGTCAGGGAACCCTCGGCAGAACCCTGGCCTCGCGATGGGGAGGCCTCCGAAGAGGGCGACCCACCCCGTTTGGAGACGAGCGGATGCGGGGGCCCGAGGGCAACCGGCACGGTCGGCGCGGTGGCGGCGGCGCTCGCCGCCCAGGCGCTCCACGACGGCGACGACGAGCGGGGCGGCGGCGGCGTGACCTGCGGGCGCTACTCCGATGGCCCCCGCGTCGCGGGCCTGCGCCGGCCTTGCGGCGGCCAGGCCATCGCCAGGCGGCGGCGCTGCGACGGGGCCGCCGTCATGGCGCTACTGGCGCTGGCCAAAGCGCACCGTGCGCCCTTCGTGCGCCTGGGCCCTCTGGTCCTCACCTCCTCCGTGTTGGCCCTTGGGGCCCTCCTCGTCGCCGCGCGGTCGCCGTTTGGAGAACTGTCCCCAGGGGCCCGCGGGCCTCAGTGTGGTATGCATGAAGCGTGCAAGCAGACTGCGAGCGCCGCTTCCTGACCTCACTTGAAGTACAGCTTCTTCTTCTTCTTCTTCTCTTTCATCGTCATCATCATCAGCATCATCAGTGTCATCGTTTTCATTTTCATCATTATCAGCATTATCACCAAAACCATCATCATCACCGTCACCTTCACCACCATCAGCCCATCATCATCAGCATCACGACCATCATCATCATCGTCATCAAAATCATCATCCGCATCATCACCACCACCATCATCACCACCACCATCACCATCATCACCATTATCATCAACATCATAATCATCAACATCATCGCCATCATCATCACCACCATCACCATCACCATCACCATCACCATCACCATCACCATCACCATCACCATCACAATCATCATCACCATCACCATCACCATCACCATCATCATCATCATCATCATCATCATCATCATCATCATCATCATCATCATCACCACCACCATCACCATCACCATCACCATCACCATCACCATCACCATCACCATCGTCATCATCATAGTCGCTCTGGCTTAAGACACGTGCTTTGCCCCGCGGCTTCCAGGGCTTCCCTTGCGCCCTACCTTTCTGTGTCTCGCGCTTGCATGTCTCCGCAGGGTTGTCGCTGCCCGCATGGACTGGATCCATGCGCAGGTCGTTCGTGGAGTCCCTGCTCACTTTTGAGTGTCGTCGGCGTCTGCTCGTGGCATAGGAAAGCTCAACGTGGTGGTTCAGCATGGTGGCCCTCAGCTTGCTGCATCTGCTCCTGTTCCTCTTCTTGCCTCGTTGAATGTCCTCTCGCCGCTGCTGGTGCATAGCGTTGCGGTTGACAAAGGGCATCGGTATTCTGCTTCGTAGTGCAGCGTTGCCAATTTCTGGTTTCGCGTGCCGCCTGACGCGGACCTACATGCTGACGATGGTGCAGGTGATGACCCATGGCGTGGTGACCCTCCCAGTGGTAACGACGATGGGGGCGTTGAAAACGATTTTGGTGCAGTTCTCCCTGGTGCAGCTGCTCCTCTTCTTGAGGGTGCTGATGTCGTTCTCCATCTTTGTGGTGCCGCTGACGTTCGTGGAATTCCTCCTGAAGTCGGCGATCATGGAGCCGACTGTACGTGGAGCCGCTGATGTTCGTGCTGTTTCCCGCCCTCGAGGTGCTGCTGATCTTCCTGGCCCTGCGGAGGTGTGTGGCATACCCATTGCTGGATGTGCTCTTGCTGACAACGCTGCTCTCCGAGATGGCGCTGGTCTCTCTGAAACAGCTGCTCGTTTGCGTGAAGGTTCTGGGGCCGTTCTCCATCACCGTTGTGCTTCTGCTGTTCGTTGTGCCCTTGACGTTCGTGATGCCGCCGCCGATTGAAGTGCGGCTCACCTCGTGCAGCTGCTGACATGTGTGGAGCCGCTGACGTACGTCAAGTAACTGCATATGTTCGCACCCACCCTCGTGAGGATGGCGTTCTCCAATCTTGTCCTCCGGAAAGTGCTGGTCATTGACCTGGCGCCTTTCATGGTGGTGGTGTTGTTCCAGCTAGTGGAAGCGCCCGGGGCCCTGATCGTTTGATAGCGTCTTCGCCTCTCAAGAAGGTGCGGGGGGTGGACAGCGAGGCCGATGGTGATATTTCGGAGCCACTTGTAGGTGTGTCGACTTTGATTTCGTCAGAGGGATGATACCTCCAGATATCCGCAACCAAGACACATCTATCAATTTTTGCATGCGCAAGCCGTTCGCGGCCGATGCAGTGATAGGTTCGTACGATTAGATTGAAATCAGTTTCAAAGGCAAGCTTGTTACTTTGAGCCAGCACTTCTGCTTTGGTTTTCGATACCCTTCGCTTGCCTGGCCACTTGTGTATTAGAAGGCTTGATCGTACGTGGCGCAACTTGAAATAGGTTGCCGTTCGGCGGTGACCGCAATGGGGAGTCCCGAGGCGCTCAGAGCTGTTGAGCGCGGACAATCACCACCACCACCATCATCATCATAATCATCACCACGACCATCGTCATCAGCGTCATCACCACCATCATTCGCAGCGCTGTCATCGCCACCATCATCATCCTCATTTCACGCATTCGGATCAAGTCATAGACACTCACGCGCTCATTTCATCACTATCGCCACCATCATCATCATCATCATCATCACCATCATCATCAGCATCATCATTATTTGCCGACATTTTCATCATCCTTGCGCACACACAATCACACGCTGACTCGCGTATTGATGTTGAGGAGGTCTCGGGCGGCAGCTTCGTTTGTGAATGAGTTGCGAGGAGGTATCGAGCGAGAGCTCCTCCGTGAGGGCCTTCCGCTCCACGTTCTAATCCGACGCGGCCATCGGCAAATTGTAGGAGGCGTAGCACTTGAACGCCCCAAGGGGTCAGCTCGTGACGATGCCTCGAGCGGGGCTTCGTGTGTGAGTGAATCGTGAAGAAGTATCGAGCGTGGACCCATTTCCTGAAGGCCCCCCCCCGCTTCATGTTCTAGCCCGAGGCGGCCATCGGCAAACTGTATGCACTTGAGCACCCCGAGGGCGCAAATCACGAGGATGTCTGGAGCGGCAGCCTCGCCAGTGAATGATTTGCGAGAAAGTATCAAGCGGGGGCCCCCTTCCGTAAGGGCCTTCCGCTCCATGTTCTGACCCGAGGCGGTCACAGGCGAGTTGTAAGAGGAATAACACTTGAGCGCCCCAGGGGGGGAATTCGTGAGGATGTCTCGAGGGGGGGCTTCGTCTGTGAGTGGGGTGCGAGGAAGTATCGAGCGTGAGCCCCTTCCCTTAGGCCCCCCCCCAGTGCATGTTCTAATCCGAGGCGGTCATCGGCAAATTGTAAGAGCCATAGCAGATGAGCACCCCAAGGGGGCAAATCGTCAGGATGTCTGGGGCGCGGGCGTCGAACCAGATCTCGTTGTCGCAGGTCCAGGCGCTGCGCAAGGGCGTCACCAGCGACTGCGCCTAGGAGGAAGACACTGGCCGCACCGGCAGGTCGAATGACCAATGGTGGCTGCATCTCTACGTCGTGCTCTCCCGCGCCACTTGAATGCGACACATGTGGATCCTGCGGCAGCCCCCGCCCGAGTTCCTGAAGCGCTGGCCGCCGAGCTCCCTGAGGGAGGCGATTCTGGGGTTCGACGGGACAGCGGAGAGCTCAATCAGGGCTCAGGCGCAGCAGCTCGCGGCAGAGCCGGGCTTCGCGCTGCCTCCCGCGTGGGTACCGCGGCGCGCAGCTTGAGGCCCGCGGGGTTGTCCCGACGGCTTGATCTGGCGCCTGAGCGGCCCGCGGGAATTGTGTCAGTGACCTGGCCCGCGGGTTGCCCCAACGGTTTCGCGACCTGGCTGTGGGAAGACGAGCTCCAGCCGGCCGCGGCGGCGACAGCGCCGAGGAAAGTCGACGTGCGCTCCCGTGCAAATGGGGCGAGGGATGAGATGCATGAAAATAAAATGCAGAAGGACAGGGAGGAAACGGAGGAGGATGAGGAGCAGGAAGAGGACGAGGAGGAGGAAGCGGAGGAATATTAGGAGGAATAGTAGGCGAAAGAGGGGATGAGGAGGATGAGGATAAGGATGAGCATGATGATGGGGATGGGGATGAGGATGGTGAGGAGGCGGAGGAAGAGGAGGATGAGGAGGAGGTGGAGGAGGAGGCGGAGGACAAGGATGATGATGATATGATGATGATGATGAGGATGATGATGATGCTGATGATGATGATGATGATGATGATGATGAAGAGGAGGAGGATAAGGAGGAGAAGGAGGAGGAGGAGGGTGAGGATGAAGAGGAGGAGGAGGAGGAGGAGGAGAAGGAAGAACAATGGGAAAAGGAGGAGGAGGAGGAAAAGGAAGATGACAAAGAGGAGGATGAAGGGGATGGTGATGAGGAAGATGACGTGCATGTCGAGGAGGAGGGGATGATGATGACGATGATGATGCTGCTGATGATGATGAATGATGCTGACGATGGTGATGGCGATGATGATGATGATGATGATGATGATGATGATGATGATGTTGTTGTTGTTGTTGTTGGCGATGATGAAGCTGATGCTGATGATGGTGGTGATGGTGATGACTGCGATGACGATGATGGCTGTTCTTGTCGATGTGGATGATGGCGGGGAGGCTTATGACGATGGTGATGATGATGGGGGTGAGGAGGACGATGATAACGGTGATGATGATTGAAGTTCATGGTGGTGAGAACGGTGATACAGATGATGCTGATGCCTTTGATTCTGTGGATGATGATGGGGATGGTGATGATGACGATGCTGGTGGTAATGATGATGGTGGTGACGATGATGATGCGGATGACGATGCTGCTGATGATGATGATGATGATGATGCTGATGCTTATTATGTTGATGATGGTGATGCTGATGATGCTGCTGAGTATGATGATCATGCTGATAATGATAATGATGATGATGATGATGATGATGATGATGATGATGATGAGGATGGTGGTGGTGGTGGTGGTGGTGATGATGATGATGATGATGATGATGATTATGATGATGATGATGATGATGATGATGATGATGATGATGATGATGATGATGATGATGATGACGATGATGATGATGATGATGATGATGATGATGATGATGATGATGATGATGATGATGATGATGATGATGATGATGATGGCGGCGGTGGTGGTGATGATGATGATGAGGAGGAAAGCGTGGAAGAGGATGAGGAGGAGGAGGAGGAAGAGGAGGAGGAGCAGGAGGAGGAAGAGGGAAACGAGGATGAGGATGAGGAGGAGGAAGAGGAGGAGGAGGAGGAAAAGGAGGAGGACCCCGAGCGATGGGCGGGAGGACGGGTGGAGGGGGAGGAGGAGGAGGATGAGGAGGAGTTGGAGGAGTTGGAGGATTAGGAGGAGGAGCAGGAGGAGGAGGAGGAGGAGGAGCAGGACGATGAGGAAGAGGAGGAGGAGCATGAGGAGCAGGAGCACGAGTAGGAGGAGGAAGAGGAGGATGAGGAGTTGGAGGAGGAAGAGGAGGAGGAGCAGGAGGAGGAGGAGGAGGAGTTGTAGGAAGAAAGTGCGAAGGAGGGACAGGAAGAGGGCCACTATCACGAGGACGATGATGATGGTTTCTCCCAAACCACTTATCTAGATTTTTGTTGGTGGGGTCCTACCGTCGGAGTGATTCCTCTTGCTCTTTCTCTCCCGCTCCCTCTCCCTCCTTTTTTTTTTTCTTCTCTCTCTCTCTCTCTTTCCCTTCTCTTAGTGGAACAGGCCGAATTGTAACATATCTGAATGCCTGCTGCATCTTCCAGAGCCGCTGTGCTCAGACCATCTGATTACCCGACGGGGTTAGGTCTTTCGCAGGCGGCGCCATGCAGCGAGCGCGGCAGGTGCCGACTATGAACGGCGTATGTGAGCCAGATCGGTGCACGGACACCGCCGAGGACGTCCTCAAAGACGTGGACTCCCGGGGCTCGCGGAACCACCACAAAGGCCAGTGCAACCCCTGCCGGTACCCACGGGCGACGAACATGTCCATATCCATGCCCTCGCGGTCCAGATGCCGAGGCGCGATCCTAGAAGGGGCAACGTTAGACAGGATAAGCTCATGGGGGAATGCGTCGACGCACAATTGTCCATTCATCGCCGATAGGGGTCTGATAGCCCTGTCCGCCCAGGTGCATGCGGATTCTCTGCCCGGGGCCGATCGCGGATCTATCGGCGATGTATCGCCGATTCCAGGTCGATGTTCTTTCCCCCCGAGCCAGTCCCCCCCCTGTAGTTGCCTCTCGTCTATTCCGTGCGCGATCCCATGGATGCGCTCTGCGCAGGGCGCATACGCACAACGCCGCTCTGCGTCCATGGGGTCGCGGCCGAGGTGTCCCGACCTTCCTCCCGTGGATATGCACGGCCAGGAACTTTTGCTCAGCGTGTCGCGCCGCCGGTTCTGGCCCGCGCTTCGGCGTGACACGCGAACCGTTTCCTGGTACCCGAGCGCCAGCGTTCCGAGCCTTTCCCAGCCTCCCGCCCCGCGGAGCTGAGCGGCAGGCATTCGCTCGCAGGGCAAAGCGTGTTGCAGGGGCCGCCGCGACTCGCTTGGCAAAAAATGCTGGCCGCTGGCCGCAGATTTGCTTCCGCCCGCCAGGTACACTGTCAGCGGCGAGCCCTGCCCCCGCGGGCAGCACTGCGATTGCTGTCACTACCACCACGGCCTGGAGAAGTTCCTCACCATGACCATGTACGTGTCCGCGGCGCAGCAGCGACGCCGCTGGGCCGCGGGCCAGGCGGCGGCGACGTGCGAGGGGATCGGGAAGAGGAGGAGGATGAGGAGGAGGAGGAAGTGGAGAGGAGGAGGAGGAGAAGAAGGAAAAGGATGAGGATGGTCATGTTAACCAGTTCGAACGAGTCACCAGCCCCCGCACATTCCCACCCTCACTTCCACACATGATAATCAATTGTGTGTGCCACACCTTGGTTTTTCAATTTGATCGCGTTCCCACCTAACGAACGGAAAGCGCTCGCACGCGGTCCCGCTTCCGACGACCTGGCGAACGGAAAACGACGCGGCCCGTGCAGGGGTGGGAGCGGCAACACTTCCGGTGAGCGCGGCGAAAACGAAGCATACGCCGCGCCGACATGGCGCTGCCACTTTCACGCGCAAACTGCGCGGCGCTTTGACGAGGACAATATTTCGACCGCTCTCGCGCGGCCCCGCTGCCGCTGCCGCTGTCGCGCGATTCGGCGAACGGAACATGCGCTGCGCCCGCGCGGGAACGCCGCTTCGAAGCGAAATGTGCACGGAGCGCGGGCGATGGTGACAAGTCGCCCGCTCGCGCCGCCCCCCTAAACTTGTTCGGTGACAAGCATGCGCCGCGCTTAGGCGGGAGCGCCACTTTCAAGAGACATCTGCGGTGCGCCTGGGCGAGGGCGGCATTCTCGTCCGCTCGCGCGTCAAGGATTTGGTGTGCGACAGATTTGCGTCGCGCCCACGAGGGAGCACAACTCTCCGGATAAATGAGTGCGGCGCCGTGGCGAGAGCGACACTACCCCTATCGCGCGGGTTGTGCGCCCCTTGCATTCCTGCCACGCATTTCGCCAAGTGGACGACAACATTTTTACGGAGAGGCCTTACGGCCTGTGCCGCCGACCCTGAACGATGACGACGACGACGATGCTGACGCGCCTCTGGGGGGTGATTTTGGGGCCTCTTGGAAGCCTCTTGGGGCCTGTTGGGAGGCTCCTGGGGGCCTCTTGGGGCTTCCTGGGCGCATCTTAGGGGTTTCTTGGGGGCGTCTTGGGGGCTTGGCGCTTCCTGGGAGCCTCTCAGGCCGAGGGCTCGAAATGTCCGCTCGGGCCCCCCGTCTGGGCACTCTCTTGGAGCCGTCTTGGGGGCCTCTTGGGCCGTCTTGGAGGCCTCGTGGGCTATCTTGGGGCGATCTTGGGGGCCTCTTGGGCCGTCTTGGAGTGTCGAGAAGCCGAAAAGGCGAGAGTCCCCAAATCCGTCAAAAACCTTAGGAACATCTATCATTTTTGCCTCTTGGGGCCCTCTTGGGATATCTCTTGGAGGTCTCTTGGGGCGTCTGGAAACCTCTTGGCCCTCTGGAGGCTAACACTCTGGCGTCTTGGACTGATACTTCGGCGATTCGGGGCCCTCCTGGACCGTCTTGGGGGCCTCTTGGGGCAGTCTTGGTTCGTCTTGGGGGGCTTTGGGCTTTCTCCCTGGGACCTCCTCCGGGTCTCCCCCGGGACACCCCCCCCCTGGCGGGGAAGGGATCGAGGGAAGGGGCTTCCCTCCGAGTGAATTACGACGTTCGTTATTGTCGTTTTCGCTAGCACGCGCGAAGAGAAAGGCCCAGGGTAAGAGAGGCAACGGCTGGTGCCTAAGTGGCAAATCGGAGTAGATGTGAACAAGGAACGGTGATGAAGAGGAATGGGATGGGAGGCCCGGAGCTGCGATGCCTCGAGGAAGAAACGAGACACAGCTGTAGATATTTCGCCCTTGCTGGCCTCTCGGGTCAGCAAGACACGATCCCGGACGAGAGGCCGGCCCGCCCAGGGAAGGGGTCGACGGCTCATGGCCACCGCCCGAATGGTTCAGCAAGTCGCGATGCGGCAGGTCGAGGTGGTAGGCGGCAGATCGGACGAGAGGGACTCGGGGAATGGGGACAAGGGGGAGACGGAAGCTGTCGCGAGCGGCCGATTTCTTCCCCGCCGCGGGGCACTTTCCTTGACACGTATATGGGCGCCTCCGCCGCTGGAGGGCGCGGGAGCTGGTCCGCTGACCTCCGCCTCGCCACATCCCTTTCGTCCCGGCCGGGCTGCCTCGGCGTGCGGGGGGAGGAGGACTGTGGGGAGGCGGAGGAGGAGGAGCAGGAGGGGAGGGAGAGGAGGGAGGAGGAGGAGCAGGAGGGGAGGGAGAGGAGGTCCACGACCTCAGACGCCGTGATTCTTCAACCACGCGGGCCCCAGAGCCCTCGACCCCGTCCTGTTGGGCGCCCGCGGGGCGGGGCCAGTCGGGAGGCCACGCGCTGCAGTGCGCCTTTGCCGCCAGTCGAGCGGCCCTGCCCTGGCGGCTTGTGCACTGCGGCTCCCTGACTGGCTGCGTAACTTGTGCCATGCGTCTGGGTGCAGTCGCGTATGATAGGTCATGTAGGGGGAGAGAAGAACTTTCCCTGGGGAGGCCAAAATCACAAACAAAACACCTGCCGCTTTTGTTGTTTTTGTTGTTGTTTCTTTGTTTGTTCGTTCGTTAGTTAGTTAGTTAGTTAGTTAGTTAGTTAGTTAGTTAGTTAGTTAGTTAGTTAGTTAGTTGTTGTTTGTTGTGTGTTTGTGGATGCGTGCGTGCGTGCGTGCGCGCGCGCGCGCGCGTGTGTGTGTGTGCCTGCCTGCCTGCCTGCCTGCCTGCCTGTCTGTCTGTCTGTCTGTCTGTCTGTCTGTCTGTCTGTCTGTCTGCCTGTGTCTGTGCTTGTGTGTGTGGTGTGGAGGAGGAGGAGGAGGAGGAGGAGGAGGAGGGGGAGGAGGAGGAGGAGGGGGAGGACGAGGACGAACAGCAGCAATGGAAACTGGAGCGGAAGGAGTGGGAGGAGCAGGAAGACTAGGGGAAGGCGGAAGGGGAAATGAGGGTGGCGACAATGATGAGGAAGGTCTCGGATCTAGAAAAATGGCCTGGCCCGCGCTGGGACGAGAGCGCCATTCTAAACGACGGGGGCAAAACGCTGATCCGAAAATGATGCCCTCACCGCAGCGGGAACACAATTTCTGAAACACCAACGACAATCATCTTGTACGAAGCCATGTGAACAAATGCAATTGTCCAATCTGGTATAAGATGCAGTGCGCGGAGAGGGCGGGACATCTTCTGGACAGAATCAGGTGAGATAGGCGAGGCGTGTTCAAGATGTGTTAGTGTGGAGGGAGGCAGGAAGGATGAGGAGTTCGGAGGGGGGAGGGATGGGGGAGAAGGGAGGGGGGGAGGGACACTTGACCTGAAAAAGAGTGTGATGCCAGGTCCGCGGATGAAGAGAAAGGAGGGGGGAGGGGAAGGGGGGTGGAGAGGGGATGGAATGTGAGGAAGGGCGAGAGGATGGTGGAGGGAGGGGCCAGGGAGGGATCGGGAGGGAGATGGAGGGGGGAGGGGCGGGAGGGAGGAGGGGGGTGGATGGGGGCAGGGAGGACATGGCGAGGGCAGGGGAGGCAGAGGGGGGCAGGGGGGTGGACGGGGAGGGGAGGCAGGGAGGAGGGACTGGCTGGTCAGGCCGCGGCCGCAGCCCGCGCGCCTCCTGGAGGTGGCAGAGCGGGCGAGCCGCGGCGCGGCGGCAGGGCCGGCGCGGTCGAGCCGCCGTGTGCGGCCGCCTCCACGGCATCCCCCCCCAGACCTTCGGCCGTCACTGGGCCCTCCACATCCTTCCTGCGAGCACGACGGCTCTTTTTTTGGGGCCCCCCTCTCTCTCTCTCTCTCTCTCTCTCTTTTTTGCCCTCAGACGAGCCCTTGGGTCACGACGATCGTCTTTCCAGGCCTTCGGGCTCCGGGGGCTCTCGCTCGCTCCTGCGACCGTCGAGGAGCGGCGGCTCGGGATGAGGAGCCGGCCCCCAGGGAAGGGGCCCCGGCCTTCGGGGAGCCACGCTCGTGAGCAGAGTCGCGACGGAGGGCTGCTGGGAAGTGGCGTGAGCACAGGCTTTCGGAGGTCCGCTCGGCGCCTCGGGCGTCGCCCCTGGCGCTTGCCGCGCCAGGGAAGGGGGGGGGGGTCCAGCTCCGATCCCGAAGCCCGCGTGAGCCTCTGACATCTCAGTCTTGTTTGTCTTTTGCGTGCTGGGTCACCCGCCGGGGCGCGAAGGGAATTGCGCTTCGCGCATCGCGATCCGAGACAGACCTTCGGACCGTCGCCGTCCCCCTCAGATCAGGGGCGACGTCAGGGGTCGATAGGCTCATGGGGGCCAGGTTTGAGTGAAGGTTCGGAGCGCCAGGTTTCCGGACATTTTCGCCAGTTCTTGGCGGGCTGCTGGTTTCGGGGTGCTCTTCGGGGAGGTAGGCTCAGAGGGGGAGGTTCGACGGTTCGGGGCGCCAGGTTTTCGGACATTGTCGCCGCTCCTCGGCGGCCTTGATTCCTCGGGGTGCTCCCCAGCAGCTGACGCCTCGTCGACAGGCGTCGAAGGGTGCCCGGATCGTCCCGAGCGGCCGCCGACGGTCCGAGACAGGATAAGAAAAGACCAGACGACGACGGATCATTCGAGATGATCCAGGGGTACCGCTAAGTCGGGCAGGAGGAATATTCAAAAATAGTAAAAATTGTCTGGGGGCGATGTGTCGATTGTTTTTGAGCATGTTTTGGATACTCGTCGACCATTTTTTAAAGCAGTGTTTCCTTGCTAGATCTGTCTGTAGGAGGACACGCCCGACCTGAGGGTAGCGCGTCGACCCCCGATCGCCCAGTGATCGCCCGTCCAGGGGGCTCGATGGGCCCCCTCCGCCCAGGATAGCGTCTGGCCCTGCCATCGGGGGCCTATCGCCGCTCCATCTTGCCGATTCCAGGTCGAAGTCGGGCCTGTCCCTCTGCATAAGGAATGTTCAAAAATTGTCGAGGAATAGCCAGGAGACGATTTGTTGAGCATTTTTTGGGAGCATTTTTGGTTTATTGCTTGACTATCTTTTGATTTTTTGTGCAAGATCCGCCTGTAGGGGGACACGCCCGGCCCAACCCTAACGTTCTCCCTGAGCGGGTGTGACCTGGAAGTTCCACGATGGCCGACACTGGAGGGGTGGTTGGGGCGCCAACGAGTGCTGCACGCAGTGTCACCCGAGCCCAGAAGTGCGATTCGCGCGTCGTGGTGTGGGTCACGCACCGCCAGGGCGGTTGCCCTTCTCCAGAGGGGGCGGCGCGCGGGCCGAGGGCGCACCGTGGGGCGCGAACGCGTGAAGTCAGGAGGCCCAGAGATCTGGGCGACGCCAAGAAGTTGCGACGGCCAGTCCTGGGGAGGTGCACTGTCGCTCGTATCCGTGCCTTCCGAGTGCCTGCGCACTCGTGTTCAGGCCATCTTCGGTCCCAATTGGTTGGGTTTTCTCCCTTCTCGTCCTCTTCTTCCTTCCCTTCTCTTCCTTCTCTTCCGCCTCTTTCTTAGAACCTTAGCTGCCTCGATACGCCCGTTTTGAAACGCAATACGTACCGTGCTTGAAACGTCTTTTTCAATACGTTGCGTGTTGGCTCAGCGTATTGGCCCACGTTGTGGCGAACGTATCGCGTCAGACCTACGTTTTCAGTCTACGTGTTGAGCTCCAGGCGTGTTGCGTATCGGGGCAGCTATGCTTTGAACACAAAATTAATCAAAGTGGCCCGTTTCCCGAGCCACGGGGCCGTCAAGCAGCGGCTCGGGATGGACTGCCGGCTCGGGGGAAAAGGGTCGAGATTCTTGGGTGCCCCTGTCGCAAAAAGTTGTGACGTCGGAGGTGAGCTGGGGTCCGATCGTCGGGACATGCCGCGGAATGGTGGGGTCTAGACTTCCCGTTGCGGTTTCCAGCGCTGTCTTTTTTCGCGGCATCGGATCTCCGGGTCTCGGTCTCGGTGAAGAAGAGTGGTTCTGAGGGAGAGGGGTCCTGAGCTTTTTTGCCCCTTTCGGCCTCCCAGGGCCCTTCCCGGGCCCCAGGACCGACCCCTTTTTATCTGGCATGGTCCCACCTGATACCGCCGAGTCCCGCTTAGTCGGGCTTGATCGGGCTTGATCCTGGGCTTACATCTGCGCCACTCCGTGCTCAAGAGCTTCAGTCGTATCTGCAGAGAACCTCCCAGGAGTTCCTCCCTCTCGTGAGAGGCCGCCCGCCTTCTTGCAGGGCCGCCCCCTCGCCCAGGACACCTGCGGAGTCACGATCAGGGTCCTGCCGCGATCCGTCGTCGATGTTCCCCGCATCCCCCCTCCCCCGAGCCCGTCGCTGGGGCCCCCGCCGCGACACGGTGCCCACAAGTTCCCGACCGTAGCTTCTCTCGTTAGCTAGTTTTTTCACGCATCTCCTGGGCAAGCAGCTGCGCCAAAGGATCGACAAACGCTCTTTGTAGAGACCTCGTTCCACAGTGCGCCTTTGACGTTCGGCTGTCACCGAGAGCCTTGGCGATCTTTGCGCCCTTGGGTCGTGCCCAGGGGACCTGCTGCTGCGGTCACACTGCTGCAGCGTGGTGTGCAAGAGCATGCTTCTCGGAACCGTTGATTCCGAGGTCCGGATGGATGGGTCATGCCTGGCTGCTTGTCCCACCTGGGCGACGAAAAAAAGCGGGGTCGTCTGCGCCGACATTGGCGCGTAAGCTGTCCGCGTAAGGTCGCGCGTAAGCGCCCTCGTCTCCAATGTAGCGTGCCACGCTGGCGTCCCGCGTGAGCCACCGCGTAAAATCGCTGTGCCATCTCGCGCAAGATCTGTTTTTGATCGTCGCTCACCTGAAGGATATCGCATTCCCTGCCGAACTGGTCGACATGCCGTCTTGCTGTTTGGCGGCCGCCTTTGCTCGGGTGTTTCGCCACGGAGACTTTGGCCGTGGAGGTCTGCGGGTTCGGGAGCGCGCAGGAGCTCTTCGAGCAGCTTTCACCGCAGAGCCAATGAGATCGAGGCGCCCAGGCGCAGCGCGTGGTTCGCTTCCAACTTTGTGCTCCAGCTCGAGACTGCTGCAGACCAGCTCCAGCACCGGGAGGGCCTTCCAAACGATTCGCCCTCGTTGCTTGGCACAGGTGGTTCCGAGGTGCAATTGTCGGAGGGCTGGCAAAAGCGCACAGCAGCAGTGTTGCGAGTTCGCCAACCAGACGCTTTCCACCACCTCCGGAGAAAGTTGGACAAGGGGCAGTTGCCCACTCTACCACGGCGCAGGCTTGGCCGACTTCTGAGTACAATGCAAGCTCTGTCTGGCATAGTGCCGCCGCGAGTTCAAACGTCTGTCTTGCGGTGTATTTTCAACGTTTGGACGGCCGCTTGGCGTTTTCAAGGCCGAGGTGGCTGCATATTTGGGTGCGCGCGGGGCGAATACAGCATCCAGCACTACGCGTTCTGTGCCTCATTCCGCCTCTGTTGCTCGCTGCACGTTGGGCTGCAGACGCCGCCCTGCGAGTGTAGGCTGAGTGTTTTGTTTGGTGCGTGAGCGCACACACGAACGCTTTGCCTGCGCACCTCCGTTCGGAAGGGGCCAGGGCGAACGCCGCAGCACTCCGTGCCATATGTGTGTACGCATTGTAAGGACTCCACGGCAGTATCACGCACAGCGCTTTGAGCCGCGCTGACGCTCGAGAGGCACTCGGGACCTTCGTGCGCGAGGGGGTCCGCGGCTTCCCGCGCGCCACATCGCTAGTGTTCGGTACCAGCACACGTCTCAGGACCTAACTGTTCTCGTTCCCCTCTTCCTCCTCTCCTCCTCCTCCTCCTCCTCCTCCTCCTCCTCCTCCTCCTCCTCCTCCTCCTCCTCCTCCTCCCCCTCCTCCTGGCACCACCGCTGCGCGACGTGCGTCGGGTCGGTGCCCACCGCGCTCGCGCGCCCGCGCCCGCGGCCGACGGCGCCCGCGCACGATGGACGAAGAGCGGGGGCCCACCACCACCCGCCCGTTCCTGATAAGAGGCCAGAGGGCGAGGGAGGGGGAGGACGACACGACGGCCCGCCCGAGGGCATCGGGGCATGAGGGCCCTCGCCCCTCCCTCGGGCGGGCCACTAGGCGCCCCGGGTGGGCATTGGGGCCGGGGGGCCCCCGCCGCTCCCACCCAGGGCGACAGCAGCCCTACCCGGCCAGGCGCCGCGCTGGTCCTCGAACTTCGCCATGGCGAAGTGGTCGCTGTAGTTCCGGACCGGCACATCTCTGACTTCGACTTCAGCTATCTCCATCAGTCATGCCCGTGTGATGCGTGTTCGTGATTGATATTCATCGAGAGGAACATCTAGTTGGGCAAGCGCTGGTCCATATCTTCATATTCTGTGCAGCCTCCATGTGGTCTGGTGGTCCACGAGCTTCTGATCGCATCTGCCAACTGTCGTGACAGCTCCACTGGGTACTCCTTGAGCTTTGCCGTTCTGTATGTACCGTTGGAGTGTCGTCCTGTGGCAATCTCATGTCCGTGGTTGTGTCGGCAGTGCTCATGATTTTCTCGTCGGTCACATTGGACAATACTTGATCTCCTCCTCCTCCTCCTCCTCCTCCTTCTCCTCCTCCTCCTCCTCCTCCTCCTCCTCCTCCTCCTCCTCCCCCTCCCTTCCTCCTTGTGCATTTTTGCCGTTGGTTGTCCAGATCACCTCAGGCTTTCTTCTTGTCGTGCTCGTGCTCATCTCCGTGGCTTTGCAGGCATTCCTCCTCGTGGCCGCGTCTTGTCCCTTGTCAGCTTCTGCTACTTCCTGTTTCACTATGCTCCTGCGCCCCGCTGCGCACTCGTCGTGACAAAAACAGTGGGTGGTTTTTTATTCGAATGCTCTCGCAAGGATGCGCCCCCCAGTCGTTCCTCTCTCCTTCTCCCCTCGTCCTCCTTCCCTTCTTCCCGCGAAGAAGAAGAAACTGCATAAACATGCGGGACACCTCCCTGGAACTTGGCGTTCCGCATGGAACTTGGCGTTCCGCGCGGATTTCTGGCTGGGCCTCCCTGGCGGCGCCTCTGGCGCCGCCCCTGGCGTGGGGTACCAGAGTTCCAAGAAATCCGCGCGGACTGGCAAAAGTTTATGCCTATGCCGTTTTTTGCTTCTCTTTTCCCCCCACTCCGTCTCGTCGCTGTGTGTGTGTGTGTTTGATATAGTTGGCCGTTTGGGCCTCGGGGGATATTGGCTTGCAGCACAGAGTCGAACTCCTTCTCTCAGGCCATGGTTCACTGCCCATGTTTGCTTCTTGCAGGTCGGCTTGTGTGGCGGTCCTGGTTTGCCTGGCGACATTTCGATTCGTGCTGTGGTCGAGTCCGCGTTGTGGTCATCAGTGGTTGCGTTCCCTTCTCGTTTTGCTCTGGGACAAAAAATGCTTCTCGATACCATGGTTTTTTTTTTCAGTCCTTGCGCGCTGCGGCTGGGGTCCGGGAGCAGCGACAAGAGCGACCGGGCTCGAGAAACGCCCCGCGGCCCCCCGCCCGCGAGCAGAAGCACGACGCGGGTCCCCAAGGGCGCTTCCCGAGCCCGCCCCCTAGTCCTGCATGCCCCCAGGCCTCTTGAGGCGACCCCCCTGGGCGATTTTTTCAGGTTCCCCTTGGGGATCCGACGCCATGAAGCATTGCAACATCGTGCAACCACTTCACCAGGACGTTGGTCCCCATCTTTCTGCGGTATTTTTCGAGCCAGATCGATGCGTGAGGGCCTTCGGGGCCCGAAGCAAGGAAAGATCGCCCGCCGTGGCAAAAGATGCGACGCCAGGATCTCAAACGTCGGCCTCGGCGCACGGAGGTCTGGGGTATCCTCGCCTCCCCGGCTCGGCGCCGTTGAGCCGTTCTCGCTGGCCTCCGCGCTGCCCCAGCAGCGTGTCCCGGAGGAGCAACCGCGGGACGCTGCCTGGGGCGCGGGGCCGACCGGCTGTGGCAGGTCGCCTTGGCGGGCGAAGGGCAACAGTCGACGACGCGTAAGAGTGACCCTTCGCCGGAGCGACCTT